CACATCAGGGCAGGGCCAGCTGGCAACCACTCATGGCCCCTCCCCAGGCACTGGCCCCTGATTGGCACCTCTTACCCCATTCGGTGGCAGGGTTGGCCCCACCCCCAATCGGCCCCCCAACCCCAGTCGGAAGCAGCCCCTTCCCCCAGCCAGCCAGGATTGGGGCCAGGCTGGCTGGACCCCACTCATACACAAATTCGTGCACTGGGCCTCTAGTATAATATATAAAGTTGTGTTGTCCAAGATAATAGTCACATGTGGCTATTTACATTTTATATTATTAATATTAAATAAAATTTAAAATTCAGTTTCTCAGTTGCTCTTTAGCTATGTGTGGTAGTGGCTACTACACTGGACAGCACAAATGTAGAACATTTCTATCATTACTAAAATTTTATTGGACAACACTGATAGAGTCTGCTTACAAGTAGTATTATTGTGAGGAATGGTGATGAGAAGCACCTAACATAGGTAACAAGTAACCAGTACTCCCTACAAATCCACAACTTGTCTGGGAAATGAACTCCGTACTCTTGCAGCACTAGTATCAGGTTCAAAAGAATATTTTAACTTTAACAGATAATTTGGTTCCTTACCAAAAATTTGTCTCACTGACCCCTGCACATAAGCTTGTTGTTATTGTGGGGCTGTTCACAAGGACTGAGCTACTGCTGTTGTGTTTTTTCTTTAAAAACAAAAAAACTTAGATTAATAGCTTGTATCCTCCTCTATGCAAGTGAAAAAGTTTGACGATATTCAAGTAAATTATGAATCCAAATAGCCAGTACCTCTTGCTAAGATTACTTCCTAACCAGTAGTCAATTTTTTTCACAGCCTTCTACCTTCATAACCACTGACTTCACTCCACTAACAGCAGTAGGCACAATAATCAGGACTTTTCTTATAATGGCTTTTAGCTCTAAGCAAAATCCCTAAAAGGTAAATACCTCTCAAGGATCAATCAGGGTCCACTCTACCCCTCCTCTTCCCAGCCTGGTCCCTTTGGGCTTTCTAACTCAAGAAAGCTTCTCCTTTTCACCTACGAACTGATATACAGGCTAATAGTCCAGTCTGGAGAAAGATCAGCTGACTAGAGCAGAGTTAGCAAGCACACTCCACATAGGAAGACAGGAAGGAAAGTGAGGTCATTAGGCTCAAGCCTGGGGGAGGGGACTCACTTCTGGTAAAATGCTCCTTCCAAAAGCAGCTTTGAATAGAAATGAATTATAGCAAGGGAGAACCCACACAATTAGACAGAATAACGTATGAAAATAATACAAGAATGGGCCTTATTCTGTTGTTCCCTTAGTTCCGTAAGGTAACCACAAAAATAAAAACAACTTTCTAAACTAATCCTTCTATTAAAATGAAACAAAAGGTACTTGGGGTCCCCAGTTTTACTAAAGGCATGAAATACTCTAGGAGGCCATATTTAGCAGACCTCGGACAGAAAAACTTCAAGGGTGTCATACTTTCTCTAGAAGCCAAGGGTACTTCTGAAGAACTGGTAGACAAGGTGCAAATGAGGAGAGAGGTTAGCTGATAATGAAGAGATCCACAAGGGAGGATGTCATGGACAAGTTTTCATCAAACACACCAAACACCACCATCTAATATAGTGCTAGATACCCACTAGGGAAGAAAGCTCCCCATCATTCATTCCTTTCTGCAGGCCAAAGTACCCAGGAAACAGGGAGGTAAATGACACTGCACAGAGAAGGTTCTCAGCACGTAAGTTTAAATGTTTAAATGTTAACAAAAATAAAAACTGTTTTCCAAAAGAACCACGCAACTCTCAATAAAATAGGTATTCTCAACTATCTGAGTTAATAAAGGAAAACAACTGTAAACAACAATAAAATCACTCACTCATTATTACCTTTAGAATATATTATATGACATTTTATTAAATAAATTTCCCTTCGTAATTATATTTTATATAAGCTAATACTAAAATTAATTAAATTTTCCTGAGTATATACTGTAAAGTTGTCTTCTGAGTTAGGGATCATAAATCTGGATAAAATACTGGCCAAATAACCAGAAAAGTTATATAAATACTGTCCCCATAATAAATACAGGAATTATTCTCATTCTCTGTAAATGAAACACTATACACAAGGTTAGATGCACAAGGCTTTGGATTCCGGATCATAATTCTTTTCACAATCTTTTTTGTTTTTTAATATACTTTTGATTTCAGAGGAAGGGAAAGGGAAAGAGAGATAGGAGCATCAATGATGAGAGAGAATCACTGATGGGATGCTTCATGCACAACCCTACTAGGGATCGAGCCCACAACCCGGGTATGGGCCCTGACTGGGAATCGAACCATGACCTCCTGGTTCAAAGGTTGATGCTCAACCACTGAGCCAGGTTTCTTTTCACAATCTTTTAAGTGTTACTTAAAAGTATTTATCCTTGGCTTCTCAAATATTTCCTATTTGAAAACTCCTCCCCAACAAATTTCGTTAAGTCTGCCAGGGCCACACATACCTGCCTATTTGGGTGACCTGTGTCTTTGTTCTTCATGGTCTCATATGCAGGCACCCGGGGACGTCGGCTCATCTGGAGGGCCACCAGATCCTTCATGATCGAGTTCAATGCCTCCTGTTCATCTACAATGAAAAAGAGCACATGGGTTAAGATACTTTAGTACAGACCAGCAAAGTACTTTCACAAATTATATGACTAATACTCAGGGAGTTCTTCCCAGGTAAAACGACAGGCTCTATTACTATAATTATATACATTTCTCTCTGAAATCTCTCTGAAAAGTAACTGAGGTCAGACTATGGCAGTTTGAATTTTAATGGATTTTTAACAGTTCTCTAATCAGATCGCAGGCAGCAACATTTACCAATTCACTGGGGGCAAAGGAGGTGCTCAAACAGAGCAATTCTTCCAATGTCACAGAAACTCAACCAGGAAAAACAGATGAAAAGTTGGAGAACTGAAGAACAACACGGCACAGTGTAGTAGGGTACTGAGTGAAAAGATGAATTCATGGAGAGCTGATTATGGAAGGGAGTTAATCACAGGCTTATTCTTCAAGTATCATATGTAGGAGAGCACATTTTAAAAGGTACCAAACAAGGATCTCAGGTAGTAGTTCTGAACAGAAGTTGTCTTACAAGCCTAGCCTTTGAATACCCTCCTCCCAACCCGTCACAAGTTTATAGGCCTTCTGCTTCCCATGGGAAGTCAAAGGCAGTTCTATTGTTTTTCTTCCCTAACTAACCAAGCAATGCATTGTTTCTTTTTTACTGGCATTACTTTTAAACCCCTTTTCTTGAAATAGCATAAAGTACTAGAGTTCTCATGTACTAAAGACAACTGGCCAAAATCCAGAATCCAAACCAACCCAATTCCATGTTTTCCAAATTCTCCTTGTCCACTTCAATCGCATTTGAGAGTTGAAAATAAATAAATCTGTTGATCTGAAAAGGAACATGAGGGATGGAGTTGTTATACTTGCTTTGGTGACAAGTGAGTCACCTGGGGATTTGGGGCACACCTTAAAAGAATCAAGAACACCCAAATACAGTGTCTATCTTCTGCCCTTTATCACTGTCCCTTGGAAATATTCTAATACCCTATGGAAAGGAAAGAAGAGCATGAAGTATTGGAAGTAAAACTGCACTCTATGGCCCTCCCCTCTTCCTAGACCAAATGCTCAGGTGTCCTACATGACCTCAGAAAAGAAGGGTGCCCTTGAAGAAGTTTTTGTGTGCTCAGAACAGTACAATTAGATTTGAGGCCTTGGCTGGGTAGCTCAGTTGGTTAGTGTCGTCCCAATACGCTAAATTCGAGGGTTTGATCCAGGTCAGAGCACATACAAGAATCAATCAACGAATGCATAAATAAATGGAACAACAACAAAAATTGATATTTCTCTCTCTCTCTCCCCAGCTTCTTCCTTTCTCCCTCTAAAATCAATAAATAAAAATAAAATAAAAAAAACTTGAAGGAAAAACACAAGTAGCTTCCCATCTAATTCCACTTCAAAATATACATATTTACAAAAATATACATGAGAGTGATACAACTGTACCAAAAGAATGAGGTAAATGGGATAAAGAATGAGGAAGTTGGTATTTACAGAAAGACATTTGTCAAAATTAAAACACATATATCCCATCAATTATCTCATTTTCTAACAACTTTCTATTTCTATAGGCTCCTTCAAACAAGGGAACTGCTTGGGTATTTATTTTGTATTTTAACCTCCCAATCAAGATTTAAAAACTAGAGAATAACATCTAGGCTAGGAAGTTTGGCGTATATATAGGCTTATACATTAAATTGGCTTATATATTATTAAAGATGTATGTATAAAATTGGGCCAACTGTAACAGTAAATTGTGATCAATATAAGGAGGATTATGACTAGGTAGGTGTTTTCATAGGGGCATCCAACAATATTTATAGCAGCAGAATGCATGGAGTTTTCCGTATCAAGGTAACCACACTTAGAATTGAGAATTTCAGTTGTCTCAACTCAGATATTGAAACAAAATGGACGTAAATACACACACATGCTTTTTAAGTTAAATCCATGACAAATAGACTTTGTAAATCATTTTTAATTCTGTATAAGATGATGCTATTATAAGAGCTGGTTTATCAGGTTGACAAATTCTGTTTCCAGGAAGCTAACCAATTCCTGGCATTACTTTAATGGATAAACTTGCTTGGTAGTTCCAGTGTTGAGAATACACTAGACGCTAGAGCAGTGGTTCTCAACCTTCTTAATGCCACGACCCTTTAATACAGTTCCTCATGTTGTGGTGACCCCCAACCATAAAATTATTTTCGTTGCTACTTCATAACTGTAATTTTGCTACTGTTATGAATCATAATGTAAATATCTGATATGCAGGATGTATTTTCATTGTTACAAACTGAACATTATTAAAGCACAGTGATTAATCACAAAAACAATATGTAATTATATACGTGTTTTCCGATGGTCTTAGGCGACCCCTGTGAAAGGGTTGTTCGACCCCCAAAGGGGTCTCGACCCACAGGTTGGCAACCCACAGGTTGAGAACCGCTGCTGTAGAGGGATGGTATGGCACTATCTCTTGAAATCCAGGACAACTGACACAAGTGAAACAGGGTTATAGAATCTGATTATTTTTAAATATACATATACATATATATATATATGTATATATATATATATATTTCATTGATTTTTTACAGAGGGGAAGGGAGAGGGATAGAGAGTTAGAAACATCTATGAGAGAGAAACATGGATCAGCTGCCTCCTGCACACCTCCTACTGGGGATGTGCCCGCAACCAAGGTACATGCCCTTGACCAGAATCGAACCTGGGACCTTTCAGTCCACAGGCCGACGCTCTATCCACTGAACCAAACCGGTTAGGGCTTAAATATATATTTTTATTGATTTCAGAGAGGAAGGGAGAGGGAGGGAGGGAGGGAGAGAGAGAGAGAGAGAGAGAGAGAGAGAGAGACAATGATGAGAGAGAATTTTTGATCGGCTGCCTCCTGCATGCCCCACAATGGGGATCGAAATCGCAACCTGGCCATGTGCCCCCACTGGGAATCGAACCATGACCTCCTGGTTCATAGGTCAATGCTCAACCACTGAGCCACTCTGGCCAGGAAGAATCTGATTTTGTGTCAAAAGTCAAATATATTGCTAGAGGCAGACAGGTTTTTAAAATGATACTTCAAACTGAGGGCATGGATAAAGACAGGAAGTAAATCAAGTGGCACTTTTAGGCATTTCTTCCTGGAGTGAGATTTTAACTGAATTATCACTCCAGTATGGAATTCCTTAAAAAATAAAAACAAACAAAACTTTTGAAAACAAATAGCTTTCTTAGAGTACAGCAGTCAATGAACTTTGGAGTCAGAAAGACCTGGGTTTAAGCAGGCCTTGAACAAATCACTTATTCACCCGAAACCTCAATTTCCTCATCTGTAAAATGGAGAACATAAAGTATCATTTCACAGAGCTGCTGTGAGAGTTAAAAGAAGACAAACTTAAAAATTATCCCTCATGTTACCTAACACTTAGTAATGCTATAAAAAATGCTGACTAGTATTATCATCAATGGAAAAAGGTCAATGGGAAAAACCTAAGGCCACTTAATCTACCCTAATTTAATTTTATTCCTGAATTTTTATTAATAATAACCATTTACTGAGTATAATGGTTTGTGTGTAATGTAGTATACATTAATTTTGAAAGATACTTCAAGGCATTCAAACTCTAGGGATAAAAGAATAAACAACACACAAACACGAGGTTATACAAACAGAGCTTGAATCAGACAGTATACAAACTATGGTACATAAACACACGTGTAAAAAAATTTTTTTACAGTGTGAGTAGCAAGAGGTTGGACAGGTTTTTACATAATTATTAACAGAATAAAGATTCGTTCAGAAAAGCAAGCTGTTCCAGTTGTGAAGGAGAGTTTTAAAAAATGAACTGAGGTGGAGAAAGGACATAAAAGCAAGTGAGAGGTAGAGAGGAAGAAAGGAGACTGATCCTCAGTGCATTGTAATCCTTATAGAGGAGAGGAGGAAGAAGGTATGCTAGCAAAAAAAACCTTTAACAAGATTGGAAAAAACAAACAGTGACACCACAGAAGCCAAGAGCGAAGAAGGGCAGTGGCAGATAAAAACTAGGCAGTTCCAATAGAGTAGTAGAGGCAGAAACAAATTTTAAAGGGAACCAAGAAGCTGGAGATTAAAAGAAAATTGGAAGTAGTGGAAGTCAACAATTAATTCATTTGTGAACTTAACATGTGAACAAGTTGAGGCAGGTAATAGTGTGCTATAACCTTGAAAAGATTTCCTGAGGATGGGATGATCTGACACACTTAAAAGCTACCAGGAAGCCGCAGAGAAGTTGATTCTAGAGATTAAGAGGTTAAGAATCTAGAGGGGAAGAGTATTCATAGAAAATAAAAAAGAAGGAATTTATGAAACAAGGCTTAAACAGTGGAAACTCTTAGGCAGTCTCAAGCAGACAGCTATACACAATTAGCCGCCAGCATATACTTCTCCAGATACCCTGACCTATGATATGGGGGCTACCAGGCAACACACTCCTCTATTTTAGCTCCATCAGGAAGTGACTTCCAGACCCAGCTACTGCTTCCCTACCTAAAAGTTGGGTCTTAAGGCACTCCCATTTATGAATTCTCTTGGCTAAAAACCCAGAAAAGTTTCTAGAAGAACCATGTCCTTTGGTAAACATTGTTGTCCTTTATGTCTGTTTACTATGTCAGACACACTCTTTTCCATATATACAAATCTCCAAAGTAATACTTAAATATTTTTCTTCATTTAACTAATGATGTTATTTCTTCATCTTGTCAACGCTCTACCCTAATGTGCCAGATCATCTGATCACAATGCTCACCCAGGAGATCCTGAACTTCAGACTCTCTCTGAGTCAGATTTTATTATCTTATTCTACATATTTCACATATTCCCACTGCCTCCACCCTGTCCATACCTAGGCAAACATCATTTTATAGTTAAGTATAAGCAAAAACAGCCCAATCCTCAATTCACTACGAACTTTTTTCCTTCAAGGATGTGGTTGAACTTTTGCTAGATCTCAAAGTCAAATTCTGGTATTTATTTTTCTGTTTCTGGAATATAAGAGCCCTTCGTATTAGTTGGTGGTTCAAAATGTAAAGATATATATTACAAAGTAAGCCACTGCTTCCTCATAAGAATCAATACTTCACCACTACATTTTATTTTAATGTTTAATGAAATTAACCTAAAGGTCTGACTATAGGATTATGTATGTCAATCCCAAAACTATAGTATTGATCTTTCCCCTTCCTATGTACCTTTACAGTTTGACAAAGTACAACCTACAACACCTCATTACACTTGTTTATATGTTTCTGATTTACTGTGCCTAACCATAACTTCTTAAGGACATGATAAATTCAGGTACAGGGCTTAACTCTTCATCTGACATATAAATGACAATAAATGGGCAAAGAATAAATGGATAGCTTATATACAACCAAGAAAATTGTTTCTTATCCTTTTATTCTCTAAGTGTTATTCACTTGGACAGATATTTACTTTTTACAAATGGCTAAAATTCTGTTTTAAAATCCAGCTGTCGTTTTTTTTTAAATATCTGAAATCTAGCCCTAGCCGGTTTGGCTCAGTGGGTAGAGCGTCAACCTGCGGACTGAAGGGTCCCGGGTTTAATTTCGGTCAAGGGCACAAGCCCAGGTTGTGGGTTCAATTCCCAGTAGGGGGTGTGCAGGAGGCAGCCAATCAATGATTCTCCCTCATCACTGATATTTCTATCTCTCTCTCCCTCTCCCTTCCTCTCTGAAATCAATAAAAATATATTTTAAAAAATAAAATAT